GGGTTAATATAGGACCCTAGGGATCATAGATTACCCCCATACGGGGAATACAAGCTATGATCCCTATTCAGGGATCATAGATTCCACCCATTTATAAATGGGTGGGTTAAATCTATGATCTAAGGGATCATAGATTAATTGGTAAATCTTTCGCGTTGCATGCGAACAATATCGGTTCAATTCCGATTGATTCCAAAGTTTTATGTATTAATAATATAATTATATTCCCTTATAAATATAAAATGATATGATTAGACGTGCCAACACCTTGAGGTATGCGTTTTCAAGATGCAGCAACACCTAACCAAGAAGGTATACATGAATTATATGATAGTATAATGTTTAATTTATCAGTAATATTAGGATTAGTATCTTATATATTATATGTTATAATTAAAGATTATAAAGATAGACCTTTATACTATAAATACTTAAAACATGGACAAACATTAGAAATAATATGAACAATATTCCCAGGAGTAGTATTATTAATAATGGCATTTCCTAGTTTTATATTATTATATATAAATGATGAAGTATTAACACCTTCATTAACTATTAAAGTAGTAGGATTACAATGATATTGAAAATATGAATATTCTGATTTTGTAGGTAATACAGGAGAAACAATTGAATATGAATCATATGTTATACCAGAAGACATGTTAGAAGAAGGACAATTAAGATTATTAGATACTGATACATCAATAGTTGTACCTGTAGATACTCATATAAGATTTATTGTAACTGCTAATGATGTTATACATTCATTTGCATTACCATCATTAGGTATTAAAGTTGATGCTACACCTGGTCGTTTAAACCAAGTTAGTGCTTTAATAGAAAGAACTGGTGTATTTTATGGTCAATGTAGTGAATTATGTGGTGTTAACCATGGGTTAATGCCTATCAAACTAGAATGTGTACCTATTGGTGACTTTGTAGAATGATTAAATGAACAAGAAATTGTTTTATGTTTATGTAGCTTAATGGTAAAGCAATGTACTGTTAATACATTGATCTTGGTTCAATTCCAGGCTTAAACGTTTGTTTGTATAAACTTGTTATTTTATAATATATTTTTCAATATTTTCCTTTTGAATAGGAGGTTAATTTTTATAAGATTTTCTCTGTGAGATATATATTCTAATAAGGTTATGATGATATATTATAAATTATAAATTATAAAATAAATAAAATTATGAATTTAATTAGTGGTATAAGTAGTTTATTAGCTATAGGTATATTATCACCAGTACAAAGTATATTATTTTTAATATTATTATTTGTGAGTACAGCTATATGTTTATATAATCAAGGTTTTATATTAATGGGTATATTATATATATTAATATATGTAGGAGCAATAGCTATATTATTTTTATTTATATTATCATTATTAAAAATAGATTATACTGCACAAGGTACAGTATCACCATTAATAATAACATTATTAACTATAAGTTTAATACCTTTAGATATAACATATGAAACATATGGAATAATAACAGAAGTAAATAATGTATATAATGAATTAATTACAGTAGGTAATATATTATATACTGAATATGCTATATTATTAGGTGTAACAGGTGTTGTATTAATATTATCAGTTGTAGGGGCTATATCAATAACTAAAAACTAAATAATGATATTAAATATAATAGAATTATTAATATTATTTGTATCAATATTATTAGCAGTAGCTTTCTTAACAGTAGCAGAACGTAAAACATTAGCATATATGCAACGTAGGGTAGGTCCTAATGCAGTAGGTTATTATGGTTTATTAATGGCTATAGCTGATGCAGCTAAATTATTATTAAAAGAAATAGTTGTACCTACACATGCTGATAGAATAATATTATTCATAAGTCCTGTAATATCATTAGTATCTGCTTTATTATGTTGATCAGTAATACCTTTTGGTCCAGGAATAACTATAACTGATCATAATTATGGTTTTATATTAACATTAGCTATAAGTAGTATAGGTGTATTTGGTACATTATTAGCTGGTTGATCAGCAAATAGTAAATATTCATTATTAGGATCTATACGTTCTACTGCTCAATTAATTAGTTATGAATTAGTATTAACAACAATAGTATTATTATGTATATTATTAGCTGGATCTATGAATTTATCAAGATATGTTGAATTACAAGAATCAATATG